CCTGCCATTTGGTTCAGATTGGGTCTGCGGGTCACGTCGGGTGGGGTCAGGGGGTCCGTGGCTTTGGGAGGCGGCAGTCGTGTGCTTGTGGTGGGAGTGTTGGGCACCAGACGGTAGATGTCTTGTCGATTGGTAGGTCTGAAGTAGTCATAGATCGGAGTACTCGAGCCATCGCTGGAGCCATCAATGGAGGTATCGATCGGTTTGTGAGTCTCGCGTCCATTGAAGGCATAGGATGTCAACGAATTGAGACAATTCTCGTTCACATCACAGATATTGTGGTGATTGGCGATCATCTCATACTCCCAACGCTTCCACGATTACCATCACATACTTCGCCAACTCTTCATACCATGGGTTGTATGCATTCGTGACACCAATTAACCACCAAATTGTCACTAATAATGGCCGACAATAACAATAATGTCATTCATTTCACCATCAATTATGTCCACATTGGCCAATATTATAGCACTCAATACATCCCATTATAGCTTATATTAACTAATATATACTGTCTGATTATATTTGTTACAACTGTTATAATCAAATTATTAAGAATACAATTAATTTAATCACATTTTATGCCAATACTTATAAACAATTAGTTAATATATAGTGTTATTATTTATGGATCTCACTTATGCTTACATTTTGGTGACTCATTCACAAATAGTGTTTAATTGGCTGTTTGTATAGAAATAGGCGTAACCTATGGGTTGCCATAGAAATAGTACTGCATTTCATTGAATGAATATTAAGTTGAAGTGACAGTTGTATGTATAGCCGCAAACTGTGCATGATACTTCATTCACCAGTAAGGGTATCATATCAGGGCTATATTTGCAATTGATGGCCACAATCAATACATGCATTTATCTGATTATCATACAAATGGTCTACTATTAGCACATTTTATAGCCATTTGAGTGTAACTCTTGACTCCTATCATGTAATCAATTATGTAATTGAAGTTCACATGAAAAGCACACAAAACTGTGTATTAGTTTGAATATACAAATGCTCGGTATTACTGAATTCAGTGATTAACACCCAATGAGTCCGACATTAAATCTTTCATTTAGAATATGCAGTCAGGTTTATTAGTGAAACAATACAGTACCCTCAACCTATTGACTTAACGTGTTAGCCCTTTAACAATAAATGCCAATAACAGTAATGTGAGTGTTGAGGGGCCGGTAGCCTATCATAAGTGACTGAAACGTAAGCATTAATTAATACATTTAATTACTATTCATATATAAATGAGTTATAATTAAATGTAATGAATGCACAAAAGGGGGAAAACTTGACACTTGTTTGACGTAATTGTGCGCTCATTAGCACTGCATATGTGACCACAAATGCTGTCCAAAAGGGGCAGTACGTGATTGGCCGCACTGTCGCACCACTGACAGTGAATGTGTAATGAATGGCATAACCGTCACAAACACAATGATAATAGCGGTAACAGTGGCACAGTTGAGCGGTGGGGGTGGGGGTGGGTAGTGGTGACCGAGTCGTAGTGTGTGAACGGGTGGACGAGTGGTGCCATCGGGTGGTGACTGAGAGGCAAAACGTGGCCGAAAGGAGTGAAAGGCAATACATATTGAGTAGTGCGCGCATTATATGACTCGCTGTAGTTGTGAACATAGGATGCAATGGGTGGCTCATACAGTGCTGTCGGATAGTCGTGGACTACAGGCATAATGTGGCGAATGAGAGCAGTTGGTGAGTGTGTGTGTGGTTAGTGTTGAGAGAGTGAGTGTTTCGTTGCAGTGCATTTCATACGAGTGGTAGTATTGGTAGCATTGGTTAGTATAGTGTAGTGTTGTTCATACTGTAAGACAGACTGTACTTTCGCGTAAGACTGAGTCAGCTATAGCTCAGTCAGTGATCCAGTGATCGCATTGTCGGTGACCTCTTCAGCGGTTCAATCGGCACCCATTGGCTCGCAATCGGTTCCCCCTCTGGCCAGACATCTCGACAACTGTCCCATAATGCAGACCAACAACACTGTGAACAACACGAAGTGTGACAACTCGTCATCAGTGGTGGGCCTGAGTGTTGGTGTGAGTGATGCCTGTCAGCCGCGCACTCTATACGTGGGTAATCTGGACGCGAGTATCACCGAAGACCTGATCCTGGCGCTGTTCTCGCAGATGGGTCACGTGAATGGCTGTAAGATAATCCACGACTCGGCCAACTCTGACCCCTACTGTTTCGTGGAGTACAACGACCACCACTGCGCCGCCACAGCACTGCTCACTATGAATAAGCGCCAGTGTATGGGAAGGGAGCTGAAGGTGAACTGGGCTACCAGTCCCGGCAACACCGGACCCAAGCCCGACACTTCCAAACACTTCCACATCTTTGTGGGCGACTTGAGTCCGGAGATCGAGACACAGCAACTGCGCGACGCGTTCAGTCCGTTCGGCGAGATCTCCGACTGTCGTGTTGTAAGAGATCCGCAGACATTGAAGTCGAAAGGCTATGGATTCGTGTCGTTCGTGAAGAAACAGGACGCCGAGAACGCCATCGCCACGATGAACGGCCAGTGGTTGGGCAGTCGCGCCATTCGCACCAATTGGGCCACTCGTAAGCCCCCGTCCAGTGGCCGCTCGCAAGAGGTGGGCCCCGGAGTCAACCCCAGTGTCCGACAGCTGACGTTCGACGAGGTCTACCAGCAGTCGAGTCCAACCAACTGTACGGTCTATTGCGGAGGAATAATGACAGGACTGTGCGATGAGTTGATCCAAAAGACATTCGCGCCGTTCGGACCCATTCAGGAGATCCGTGTCTTCAAGGACAAGGGCTATGCGTTCATAAAGTTCGCCACCAAAGAGGCGGCGACTAACGCCATAGTGGCCACACATAACGCCGATGTATTGGGACAGACAGTCAAGTGCTCGTGGGGTAAGGAGTCGGGTGACCCCACTCTCACTCAGTCGGGTCACCAGTCGGGCAGTACAGTAGCGGCCGCACAATCGCTGTGTTATCCCTACCAACAGATGGCCGGCTATTGGTATCCACAGACGGGTTACCCGCAGACCATACCTTCCGGTCAATTCGCAGTACAGACTGGCGTTCAGTACCCGTACTCCCAATACTATACCTCCGCTCAAACAACACCCGCCAGTTTCAACGCGTCAGCCGCGGCCGGACTGGCCATGCAGATGGCCTGGCAGTCGGGAGCTGCCGGTGCTGTGCCCGGACAACAGGCACACCTGGGCGCCCAAACACACCAGACGGGACTGGGGCCGGGCATCCAGCAGCCGGCTATGATCGGTGCCTACCCTATGCAAGGCTATCAGGCTCAGTAGTGGACAGTTGGTCGGCACTGTCCGGCCCCTCATCGTTAGCTATTAGTGCACTCATTATTGTATTCATACGACGACTTATATGACAACTGACGGCAAAGACAACCGAAAACAACACAAACCAACAAAAGCCACAAATACAACAACAAGCCATACATTGACTACACTCTGAACGGGTAAACATCCCTTCATATATGTATCGATATATTAATGAAATTTAATTAAATGAATTGTTTTAAAACTGTTGACAAGTTCTCAAATGGATGTTTGTTGTGATGCAGTGATGCAGACATTTATACATACAATAGAAATAGTATAGCATTTAATCAATTAATAATAATTCGCTCAATATTTTCAATATATATTCATAGGATTGCATTGAAATGGATTGCATTGAATAGGAATTGATATATTGAGACGAATAATGAGTTTTGTATAAAGAAATAAATTTCCAATTTTCCAATACATATGAATTTGTATGCTTTGCTTTGCCATTAGTTCGGATGAGAACTTATATACTATATGTTAACATAAATTACAGAATCATATAATCAAATCATACCTAAAATTATGCACAATATTATACAATAAAACAAATATTGAATAAACAAAATCATATGTCATATATTGATAATTGATATTAAAATATGTTTTCATATGAATATTGAATTGAGAAGAGATTCCCTCCAAAGGGAATGCAATTCATGTTAACTAATAATAAAGTTTGCAAAATACATAACACATACAAACTATCTCTCATTCATTCACATTTCATATCAGTTTTCCATACATTCATTATGAGAGAAAACTGACAAACTTTTCACTTTAAGTTATTTTGTGAGAAACATAGGCCTCAAAAATACGGTGATATTCGTCTCTATTATACTATAAATATATTTATTATAATATATATATATATCTTATATGATATTATATAATGTATACAAAATTGCCCCTTTGGTAGTCCTCGTTGTCTTGTATGGACATTGAAAACAATCACATTGTCTATGGGTCTGAGACATGGACTCATGGACTAATTGTTACCATATTTTGCATTCTCTAACATTAATCCGATACTCGATGTTGGGCTGAATTATAGTATTTTGTTAAATATTAGTTAGCATTCAATGAGAGCATGCATTCAATGTATGGAAAGCACTATAAAATTGTATATAATTTATAAATTTATAAATAACTACAAAGTGTGGAAATCTAAGATATTTAAGGAAAGGTTTTATAATTTGAATAAAACTATTGTAAATGTGTTTTGATAGAGAATTTGGGCAAAAGTCAGAGTATTAAAGCATTCAATGATTGGAAATAATGACCTAACGGTGCTATAAATGAATTGAGTTTATAATCAATGTGTGATTTACTCATGAAAATGTTAGTATCATTCGCTATAACATTAGATATAACCACATAATTGTTGTTTTGTCAGTTGTATTAAGTTATGAGTTATATAACAAAAGTCTGTATCATTACATTTGTAAACATAAAAGTATTAATCATAACATTAGTGCCAATACGAGCATCTATTCTGCATGACTAGAGGTATACCACAAGTAATCATAACTTGTCATAACTCTTGAGTCAATTCCTTGAACCCACGGGTTTGAGGACTAACTTATAAAACGATTTTCTAATGATATTATACATAAGAATATACATAAGAATGTCGTGAAATGCAAATATACTGTAAGTAATAGTAATATGAAATATAAAGACCACAGACTATAAAGACAGAGATGTATTGATTGGTGTGAAACAAGTGAACATCATTTGTCAACTATTCTCTTAATTCAAACACTCATTCAATGCCTTTATTACAATAATACAAAACTATTGTATAACAAAACTCTAGATTTGTTATAAAAGTCATTAAATTTTAGAATAGTATTCAAAGGCAAATGTTTTGCAAAGATTTTTACGATAAATACATTCAATAATGAATAGTGTTGGACATGAATACAGGTATAGGAATATGAAAATATAATAATGAAAATATGAAATGAAAAGTCACACAAATATATGTTTATAATGAAAGCCAAATATAATAAAAATGATTCATAAAAACATTGTTTGCTCTTTATTTCACTCTTTGATTACTTTAATTGATTTGAAGTTTGAGGTTTGTATCGATTATAAGATAAGTGCCTCACAAACACCATTACCGCCGTCTTATACCACAACGAGGAACGGGATGTTCAGCTCAACTCATCCTCCAAATCCTGCAAACATCTTCCAACACATTTGTTTTCATATCTCCTAAACTTGTCTCAAAAATTCAATCATGAATTTAAAAGTGATTTCAATTATTCACTAATAGATTAATGGATTAGTTTTTGTTGCAGTGATTGTGAGAGAAAGCATTATTCAAAGGATAAACTATAAGTTTGAGGATTTATATACTGGACGCACATACAGAGCACATAGAATACAGAGTTGTGTTAAGATTGTGAGATAACATACAGTAATAGTAATAGTAATGTTGATTATTATTACGGTATATACTGTATAGTACTCTATAAGAGTAACTGTTGGCTCTAACTCTGTGTTCAGCGCACCTCTGCATCACTAAAGATAAGCTCCTATTGAACAGCACTCGGAGTGACTAATAATTAATAGACATCGATCACAAAGTGCTCAGTTATGCAGATTTGTATTACATTCACATCACACCAATTGCCTCGAATTTGTTCACAAAGTCAGATGCGAGAGAGAGAGAGAGAGAGAGAGAGAGAGAGAGGTAATTAAAAATCAAAATTAATGGATTAATCATTAGAGACTTGATTTCATACAAATATATGTTACAAATAAATGTTAGGATAAAACATTGGATGCGTTACTAACTATAATAATAATAATAATTATAAACTTATTTATTGCATCTCTATTGATATGAAATGCATTTACAACTCATGTCTTGAAAACTGATTTCTAAATCCTAAACATTCTCGTCGTCATTATTAATGCATAAATTTGATATATTTATCAGCGAAATATCTGCACTGATATCTCCAACAGTTATATTGATATGATTCAAACGGCACACACATTATGCCAGCTTTCGCTCACTAGGTCTACGCTTTTGACTATTAATATGTTTAAAGCATTTTCGGTGTTTTGAATGCATGAAACCGACCGGAAAGCTATGTAAGCCACCAACGAATCAGCCAATGATAGTGACACCAAACAAATCGCACCGGCATTCAAGTCGCACAGCCATACACTGCCGTACGAGTCATATAAGCGGTCACTCAATCGGAAACATTCTTTCACTTTCTTCTCGCAAACTATTATTCCCTTAATTTAATGTTTACTTAATTTTCAATCAATTTAACCACTTTTATTGGTAATCACTTTTTCCCATTTTAATATTATTAATTATAATAGTCAACAAATATATCATTTCATATATGCTTTATCACTGACCCTAATGAAAAACTAATTTAATATAAAAATCGATATTTATTTCATGTCATATAAGTAGTCTAAAGTGAAATAATATACAAACATCTGATTTTATATTAAATAGTAAATTAGTTAAATATTATTGGAAAATATGTATAAAGTGAACCAGTTTAAAAGTATGATATTTTGTGTTTATTAATAAGATGTGTCAAACGTAAAATAGCTTGGATATATTTAAAGCATCAAATATAATTAATAATTGATATTTTATTTTAAAAGGAATTTTGAAACAAATTGTAGATATTTTTGATTCTATTAAATGTCTTGTAGTATTGATTTCAGACTCAAACCATTGTCTCATTACTGATCCGATTACTCAATAATAGATAAGGTTTTGTAAAAAACAGAAATACATTTTGTGATTTGTTTTAATGAAAACTTAATAATAGCTTTTTACATTAAATTGCGATATCAGGAGCAATAAGTCTGTTAATTATCAAAAGCAAAATAAATCCCAATTTTTATTTAAGATTAACAAAACAAACATAACGAGCAGTGGTGGGGCTACTAAATCAATATCCAAATTAATTTACAGTAATTGTGTTTCTACAATAATTTAAGTGTTTTATTTTGCTGGTTGTTAACTAGCCTTAGTTAATATGGCTCAAGAATTGCGAAGCCTTTAACTGTTAGCCATTAAATATATCTCTTAATTTTAATACAAAGCCAAATGTATCAAAAGCATGAGTAGAGTTGTGAGCCATTTATTATAAAATACAATTATAAAGATTAAATAACTACCGTTAGTATAGTATAGTGAAAAGAATTGTTTGTTATCATCGATATGTTATACAGGAGTGAGAGGTTTAGTGAAATTTATAATTGCTTTGTTGGGCACAACACCACTCTATGTCTGCTCGTATATTATTCATAGGAATGCCTTCATTTCCTTCATTTCATCTATCATTCATCCAAAGAATCGTATGTGAAGTCAGATATAAAAAATTTCATTCAATTGCAAGTCATATCATACATACATACGTAAGAATTTGTAGCCATTCCTCTCCTAATCTTTCTTTTTATTTATATTAAAGCATTTTTTATCGCTTCTAATATCCATTGCTTAAAGTCTTTTTAGCTATTGTTTTAATTCCTGATTTAAAATTCACTGCTTCCACCAAATTATATTTATGTATTATATTTGAGTTTTCAAATTTCTTGCAATCGTATGCCATGTTATGTATTCTCTGAACATAACTATAAATTTTATCCTTTTTTGAAAGATGAGATGCAAAATAACAGAATATATAAGTTATTACATCTTAGATATAGTGAACAAATCTTGTTAGCGAGGCACCATATATCCAATGCCCTGTGAATGGTGTGCATTAACACAACTGTATTGTATATATTGTACAATATATTCTGTATATTCTGTATATATTGCAGTTTATTTATATAATAATGATTAAAATGCGCGCATTTATAAAGCATTATACGCTTAATGAAAATACATGGCCAACAACGCTATGGCTCTCAGTTAGTGTTCACTTCACTCTATTGTACACTACATTATGACTGACTATCAC